ATTAACTAAATATGAAATTGAAATTGTTAAACACATTATACAGGTGCTTATAAGTCAAGAATAGAGCATTTGTAGCTGCAGTTATAAACTGCTTATTAAAGCTTATTAATGTAGAGTTAGTGCTTAACAGATAATGAATTCACTATTTGCTAACGCTTAATAAATTATTTATAATGTGTAGTTATCATAAAGTGTCATTGAAATGAGTTATTAAAATTATTATGATTAGAAATGTGCTGAAACAATCTTCCCTCCATTAAACAGAAATTGGGGGAAAAAATAAAGAGGGGGGCTAATAATTCTGACTTCAACTGTATATCATTTATTTTTCTTAACACAAACTGCATGAGCTCTATTATTCTGCGCGATGGTGATATGCTGTATGCTGAAATTAACGCCAAAAAACAAAAAAACAAATACAAACAAAAAATATAAATAGAATAACTTCAATGATAAAGTATGCAGCTAAGCCAACATGAGACGCAGTTTCATCAAGTTAATTGGTTTGGTCAAGGTGAACACTTTACAAACTCCTTTAAAAAGTTTAGAAAGTACATCTCAACCTTGCTAAAGTGTAAATCTCAGAACAGAACAGAAGAAAAGAGTGAGCTGAAAAGAAAAGCTCTGAAGGAAAGTTGAGTTTGGTGAAGATTCTGATGAAGGCCTTGAACGAGTTTCTGAAGAGAATCAATGCAAAGAATAAAAAAAAAAAAAATCAAGCAGAATGGCAGGACGGTCGAGGACACAACGGCCAGAAAATGGGTTGAATGTCAGATGTAATTTTTGAATTCAAAACTGGGTTTATTAAATTATTATTCTGCAACATCGTGTCTGCCCTCTCTGAAAATACACGGACAGAATCAACGGTATATTCTGTCTCTTAACGTCAAAACAACCCACTAGAACTGATTGAAGATTTAGCAATGGCATTTTGCTCAGAGAAGTTATAAACACACACACACAAACACACACACACCCACGCACACTTACATGCACACACACGCACGCAAGCACGCAGGCACACACACAAAAAACAAGTGTAGAACAACATTAATCCATAGATATGTACACTAGATGTCGCCTGACCTATTGTTGTCTATTGGAAGGAATGCGTCAATAGCGCCGCCATCTTGCTACAGGGTAGCGCTCTTTTGAAATGAATGCGGGACCAGGGTATAGTGGAGGACTGTGGCCATCCAAAGCCAGAGATATACACATATACACATATATCTGTGATCGGGAGTTTTCCAGGATGTTAGTATGAAATTTTTTTTAATTACGAAAATTATAATTTTACAACACTTTTCTACATTGATGGATCAGTGACCGCACGAGCATTCCTGACAAAAAGCTTGTGTTTGTGTGTACAGAAATGTACTATTCACCCTCCTTGTTAAATTTGATCTAATCATGTCCTGAAACACAGCTCCTCTCCTGCTTTCACTTCTCATACTGACAGAGGGAGCGATTCGTTTGTGAATGAATCTCCCAAACGACTCTTTCACTAACGTTAGCCGACAATAATAAAGTTTCTGGCACTGCAGCATCTCGTTGTCATTTTTCTTTTGCATTGTTTGGTGATTTTATTCAACAAAACTAGCATAAGCCGAGTGTTTAGTGCGAGTTGGAGCTGCTTTGCCTTATGGTGAATGCAGTAAGTGACTGTTATCATCAGTACCGTTACCTGATTAGCATAAAAAGTTCAGAACATACAAAAACAGAAAAAACGTAATATTACCTATGAAATGTTCTGCCTTTGTGCTTTGTTTTCTTTGTTTGCTCTTTACTACACATGTAGACAGCACTAAAGTCCCGCATCTTCACGTAATAACACTATCTTGACTAGTGCGGTTCAATGACATTTGTCCTGGGAGCACTGTACCAATGTGGCGGCGCTATTGACGCATGCTCAGGGTCCCTATGCGATATCTAGTGTACATATCTATGACATTAATCTACTAAATGGTGCAACAAATTACAAGCTACTTGGCTGCATTCACACCGCATGGTTCAATTGACCAATTTTTTTTCCTCCCATGTGGCACAGATGGGATGTGGCCCGTGTACATGTAAGCAGGGAAAAAAAAATCACATAGGTTCCGATTTACTCAGATTCAGGCCTTGTTCATATGTTGAAATTTATCCTGAATGAATCAGATCTGTTTCCTCGTGTCTGCAGTGTAAGCAGTTAGATCGGATCTTCACCTGTCAATGCAAATCGTGCATCACTTGCAATATAGCGAACGATGTCAACACTGATGCTTTCATTCAGAACAGACTTCAGCAAAGTCCACAGACTCATACACCCAAGCTTTTATTTTGTCAGGTAGCACAAGTAGAAGAGAGAGAAAGAGATAGAGAGAGAGAGAGAGATGGCATCCAGATCTCTGCCTCTGGGGGCTTCAATCTTGCCGTCAAGACGCTGAGCGAGAGGGCTCGCAGAGCATTCTATGACAAAGTCACGCTTTGGTCAATTACAGTTACCAACTAAAAGATGGATTAAATTATATCACGCTATTATCAAACCTATCTTATTATATGGGAGTGAAATTTGGGCACTAGTATTAAAATGTGAAAATTGGAATAAAAGTTTAATTGAACGAACAAAATTAGAATTTGCTAAAAACATATTACATATTCACAGAAACACGTCTAGCATTGCCTGCAGGGCTGAACTGGGTTTATACCCGCTAAACTTGGAGATTCAGAAACAAGCTGTTCAGTTCTGGCTGCACCTGCATCAGTCGGACCCCCAGTCTGTCCAATATAAAGCCCTTCTGGCTAATGAAAAACCTACAGTGTCTCATCCTCTAAACACACTGGTATCTGAACTACTGAAAAAAAAAACACAAACCGAAATCGTCCCCAAACAAAACCTTCACAAACAAATTGACAAAACATTAAAATATAACTATGATGAAAAACTAAAAACTGAATTCAACCTCCAGACTAAACTTAAATGTTATTCGGCCCTAAATAGAACCACATAGTTGGCAAATTATTTATCATTAAAACAATTAAAAGAAAAGCACATTCTTTCTAAATATCGCCTCAGTGATCATGACCTAGAAATAGAAAAAGGCGGACATAAAAATTCCTGGACTCCTAAAGAACAGACAATATGTAAACAGTGTGACACAAACCAAATAGAGGATGAGACGCACTTCCTTCTGTTTTGCCCCAAATACACCATGACTAGAGAAATATTTTTCCCCAATTTGAAACATTGATCAGTTCATTTTTTAATTTAAATGACTCAGAAAAACTTTACCATATACTCGGAGAGGACGAATTGACATTTAGACTAGCTGCAAAATATGTATACACCCTACACACCATAAGACATGGTTAATATAAATTTGTGTATCTTATTTAAATAATTTAAACTTTTTACTATTATTATTATTATATTTATCAAATGTATTGTTTTTTTTTTGTGTGTGTCATATCTTATCTGTATAACTATTAATTATTATTTTCAATGGTTTTAATATGTTTCATATTTGAAGTGCTTTGGCAATACTGTTCTTAATGTCATGCCAATAAAGCAACTTGAACTTGAAAGAGAAAGAGAGAGAGAGAGAGAGAGAGAGAGAAAGAGAGAGAGAGCGAGCAACATCTGCCATGTAAACAATATAAGCTAAACTAAAACTGTTGCATACATCAAGTGCATAAATCACGCCATGGACATTACATTAAGATGCCTGCTGGTTTAAAAAAAAACTAAATTAAAAAAAAATAGCCAAATGACAACTTTTCTGTCATATATTAATGTAAAACAACTTTTCAAAAAGAATTTTAAAAATTAAATCTTGTGAGCAGATTAAATACAGCAGTTGAGAAATTGGCACTATTATTATCAGCTGTCAGTCAGCGCCCGCTCTTTTTTTCTTTTCGTTTTTTTTTTTCTTTGCCGTGTGCAGTGTAAATGCAGACAATCAGATAAAGTCACGTTTAAAAGATGACGTAAGCCGGCCATCAAAAAAAAAAAAAATACAATCACAAAATCTAAATTGACGATTAAGATCTGTAGTGTAAATGCAGCCATTTATTTGTAGTTTATTATTTATTTATTGATGTATTTTTGTTTTAATATACATCATATAAAACTAAATAAAGAGAAAATTTCCTTGGTATCGAAATATTTCATTTTATTTCAGCTTACATGTTTAGTAAACAAGTAAACAAATCTTTTATTAAAAAATTTATTTTATCTTTGCCATGATGACTACATAATAATTGACTTCATATTTTTCAAGACACTTCTATACAGCCTAAAGTGACATTTAAAGGCTTAACTAGGTTAATTAGTTTAACTAGGCAGGTTAGGGTAATTAGGCAATTTATTGTATAATGATGGTTTGTTCTGTAGATTATCGAAAAAATATATAGCTTAAAGAGGCTAATAATTATTGACCTTAAAATGGTTTTTAAAAAAATAAAAAACTGCTTTTATTCAGGCCAAAATAAAACAAATAAGACTTTCTCCAGAAGAAAAAATATTATCAGACATACTGTAAAAATGTCCTTGCTCTGTTAAACATCATTTGAGAAATATTTAAAAAAGAAAAATAATTTAAAGGGGGGCTAATAATTCTGACTTCAACTGTGTATATATGAATGGATAAAATCAATATATAATACACAAATATATATATTACGTAAAAAACTAAATATATTTAAAAATACATGTCTATGTTTTTGTTTTTTGCGAGTGTGTATATACATAATACAATTGTGTATATACAAACAAATATTACGTTAGTAAACATTTATTTTGTATGTGATTAAACCTGATTAATCTTTGCCCAGAATTAATCATAATAACAGTAAGAAGGAAGTGTCCAGCGATCAGGATTACATCTGCAGGTGCAGAAGAAAGCAAACAGGAGGTTCAGAGTCCAGAAGAGCAGAAGAGGGTTAGTCTGAAACCCGTCCCACAAGCTGACCGTCATCGTCCCGTGAGCAGACAGATCACCGGACTCGTTTGAGACACTGACCTGGAGACCCGACGCTTCCCTTCGGGCGACAACACCACAGTCAGCTGGTCCTGAGGAACTTCTGATTTGCTACGACTGGAGATGATGACCAATGAGCAATGAGGATGAGACGGGAACAAAATGAGCAAATTTAAATAAAATAAAACTTAAATCATAAATTAAAATAAATTCATTATTACATATGAATAATGAGCTCGAGACGGGGAAAAAAGAGGAGATTGGAGATTAAGCTCAACACTGAAAGGATAAAATAAAATCGAATAAAATAAAAAGCTGTGATAAAATAAATAAAATGTACAAAATATAAGATTAAATGATTGAGAAAGTTATGGTGTGTTTAGGATCTAATGCAAAGGAAATCACTTTTGAAAATTCTATAATAAGACTAACACTAATATTAATAATAATTAAAAACCAGTAGTAAATGATTGGGGCAGTTACGGTATAATTTACCTAAGAAAAATAGAAAAAAATGTTAAAACAGAATTAAATTATTTATAAACTTTTTAAAAGAATTGCAACTGTAAAAAATAGTAAATGAGTAATAGTTCTGAAAGGGTTTAATATTAAAATATTTATGTGTGTATGTGTATGTACTGTATATGACTTTGGTCAGGTATTGTGAAAAAAATACCTGAATAATATTAATATATATATATATATATATATATATATATATATATATATATATATATATATATATATATATATATATATATATATATATATATACACACATATATATATATATACACATAAATAAATATAAATAAATAAATATAAATAAATAAATAAATATATATATATATTATTCTGTTTTTTTTTTTTTACAATACCTGACCAAAGTCTTGTCGGCTATCCAAGTTTTAGGAACAGCAAATAATAAGTTGACTTCTAGTTGATCATCTGATATCAGAAGTGGCTTATATGAGAGATAAAGGTCTCTAGATTACACTTAATTGACCACAATAAAATCATGCCTTGAATATTAATTCTTTAATTAGGACAGTAAGGTCTGACTTTGTTTAGACTAAAGTCTCATCATTGAACAGAAATAATGTCCAGTATAGAATATAAAGCCCTGCTGCAGTGGAGACAGAATGAATATTGTGTCTGACTCCATCATGAGCATGGAGGACTGCATCATACATCTCTGACATGACTCACATCACTGATTAATAAAGTCATCTGGAATGGCAAAGAAAGCCTTCCTGCAGGACTCCCAGAGCTCATCAAGAGTCTTTGTGTTCATCTTCAATGCCTCCTCCTTTATCTTACCCCAGATATGCTCAATAATGTTCATGTCTGGTGACTGGGCTGGCCAATCCTGAAGCACTTTGACCTTCTTTGCTTTCAGGAGCTTTGATGTGGAGGCTGAAGTATGAGAAGGAGCGCTATCCTGCTGGAGAATTCACCCTCTCCTGTGGTTTGTAATGTAATGGGCAGCACAGATGTCTTGATACCTCAGGCTGTTGATGTTGATCATCCACTCTGCAAATCTCTCACACGCCCCCATACTGAATGTAACCCCAAACCATGATTTCTCCTACACCAAACTTGACTGATTTCTGTGAGAATCTTGGCTCATGTGGGTTCCAGTAGGTCTTCTGCAGTATTGGTGATGATTGGGATGCAGATCAACAGATGATCCAACAGAAAAATGCACCTTCTTACACTTTTGATCAACTAGAAGTCAAGTTATTTTTTTCTCTCAACTGAGATCCACCACAAGACTTTTGTTAGGTACTGTGTATATGTATTTATCTTTAATGTGCATATATTTAAAAAAAAAAAATTAAAGGCAGAGGTAAATGGTATAAAATAAAATAAAAAAAGAAACAGCATTATCCCATGGCATCAACAGTTAAAAAACCAACGTGATCCAGGAAATACAAAAATGATGGCTGGTTTAAAGAATGCTAAACCATCCCCATGAGCTGTACTGTTTTACCGCAAAATGAATACCCAAGTTCTTTGAGCAAGTGTGAATATAGAGGATAAACATGCAAACACAGACACACACACACACACTTGATCAGAGTAACCTTCCCTCAGTTATTGGCTCCTAATAAAGTGAAACTGCTGCCTTCCTGTGAGATTCTGTCAGCAAAATACAGCAAACTAATGCAGAGCACGAGAAAGAAGAGTCAAGAAATGATGCCAACAAACTCCACGAACACAGAGACTCTGGCAGAGCATTGAGGAGAACCACAAACAGCAGAACAACACCCTGACAGAGAAAGAGAGAGAGAGAGATAGAGATTGCCACAAACTCAAGACAACTCTAGACAAACCCAAAGCAAGAGCACTTCTTACAGTACGCTGTTTGGTTATACATTCATTCATTCTCTTGTTGGCTCAGTCCCTTTATTAATCCAGGGTCGCCACTGCGGAATGAACCGCCAACTCATCCAGCAAGTTTTTGCGCAGCGGATGCCCTTCCAGCCGCAACCCATCTCTGGGAAACATCCACACACACACACTCATACACACACACACACACACTCATACACTACGGACAATTTAGCCAACCCAATTCACCTGTACCGCATGTCTTTGGACTGTGGGGGAAACCGGAGCACCCGGAGGAAACCCACACGAAGGCAGGGAGAACATGCAAACTCCACACAGAAACGCCAACTGAGCCGAGGTTCGAACCAGCGACCCAGCAACCTTCTTGCTGTGAGGCGACAGCACTACCTACTGCACCACTGCCTTGCCCTGTTTGGTTATAATTATTTATAATTATATTATTATTTATAATTAATTATTATATTATTATTTATAATTAATATAATTATTAATTACTTATTTCTATTTATTATTTTTATTGTCTTAAATACTTTTATTTTATTATTATTATAAATTGTATTTAATTATATTTATTTACAGTGTATATAATATAGGCAGCTGAAGTCAGAATTATAAGCCCTTCTTTGAATTTTAAAAACAAAATTTTATATTTCCCAAATGATGTTTAACAGAGCAAGGAAATTTTGAAAGTATGTCTGATAATTTTTTTCTTCTGGAGAAAGTCTTATTTTAATTCGGCTAGAATAAAAACAGATTTTATTTTTTTAAACACAATTTTAGGGACAAAATTATTAGCCCTTGTAAGCCCATTTTTACTTGATTATCTGAAGTTTTCAGCTTAAAGTGACATTTAAAGACTTAACTAGGTTAATGAGGCAAGTTATTGTACAGTACAAAATGACAAAACAAAATAGCTCAAATTGGAGCCAAAATTTAATTGAAAACTGAAAAATCTGACTTTTTTTGTTGCATCATTTAGTCCTTTTCTTTTTTTGATGTACAGCGGGGAAAATCAGTATTGAACATGTCACCATTTTTGTCAGAAAACATATTTCTAAAAGTGTCATTGACTCGATTTTCCCCAGAAGTTGATAGCAATCAAAGAAATCCATAAATGCAAGGAAGACTAATCTAATTAGTTTACACATGAAGTTCTGTGTAATAAAACGAAATGACGCAGGGAAAAGTATTGAACACATGAAGAAAGGGAGGTGTAGTTCAGCAGCGAAAGCCCAGACAGCAGCTGAAATCTCTCAGCAGTTCTTCAGCAACCCTCTGCCCTTCCTCAGTGTAAATGAATATCAGCTGCTTCAGTCCAACATCTACATGAGCAGGAGGATGAAGATGAAACCAGGGTGGACATTTCAGCAAGACAATGATCCAAAACACAGACAAGGAGACTCTCCAATGCTTTCAGAGAAAGAAAATCAAGCTGTAGAATGGCCCAGCCAATCACCTGACCCTAATCCAATAGAAAATACAGAATAAAGCTCAGATTTGAGACCCACAGAAGCATCAACAATTTGACACTCACACCTGAGCAATGCAGGTGACTTCATTCTCCATATGAGAGGTGTCTTAAAGCTGCAGCACAAAAAAAAGGCTTTTATATAAAGAATTAATTACATTGAGTTCTTTCTCCTTCTGTCATTTCATTGTTATTAAACACAATATTTTCAGATTTTTTTATTTTATATATTTTTATTTATATTTTTTTTTATGTTTGTATTGTTTGGGGTTTTCCAAAATCTGGTTCAATTCCACGTCAACAGCTCCTTTAGAAAAATTATTCCTAGGAAAAAAAGTGTTCAATACTCCCCCCCACTGTATTTAATAGGAAAAGAAAGTTTTTTTATAAATTAAAAAATATAATATATACACCAATATACACCAAGCTTTTTTGGTGTAAGTTTTTTTTGTTATCCAAGCATTTTTCTGAAGTACATAATTGTATTTCTTCTGGACTCAGATTTAGTTGACAGTTTAATCTGTGACTCTCCTGACTCAAAGGCAGCAGAAGGCCACTAACGGACAGGCAGCAGTGCATTGTGGGCCATTATTCACACATAAACCGTCTATTCTGTTCCACGCGTCCAGTCAAAGCAAGAGCTCAGTCCTGAATAAAAGTTTTCGATAAAAAAAAGCAGACATGAGAAGCGTCCAGCCGGACTCACACAAGGACATCAGACACCGCTTTTCTTCACACAAACAAAGCCTGAACAACAGACGGCTTCGCTTTCTCTCTCGCCCTCCGCTTCTGGACCAAAATATTTGCTTTCTTTCCTTTTTTTTTTTCCCCGCGGTTTCTTAGCAACAGCAAATTACAACAGAGAACTTTTCAGATGAGGTCAAAGTCAAATCGCGCAAAAGAAAGAGACGAGGCAGAAGACACATTGCAGATTTCAAGTGAAGATTGTGACTTGTGACAGATGCAGAAACATAACACACGCACACTTAAGAGCAGTGGCGCCTGCAGCCGTACGGCTGTGCGCACCATGAGAGGGCGGGAATTAATGCCACTTTTTTTATTTATTTATTACATAATTTAAATGGGTTATTAAACAGTATACACTACGATATATTGACAAAGCAAGAAAGAATGAGAATAAATAAAGGTGTGCGTTTGTGTGTTGTAAAGTGTGTATGTACTTGCATGGTTGGAGTTGGGTAAAGAAATCAGTTGGCTTTAGTTTTGCTGGCGGTTTTGCCCACCTAAAAATTACAATTTAGATAGCTATTGTTTAAAACAAGGTTAAAAATGAGTAAATACTCTTTAAAACAGATACATCTAATTGAGACATTTGCCAAAAGGTCTAAAACTGATGATACAAATACTGATCTCCGGCACGGGGTGGAGACTGCAGTATAATTAGCACCTAAAGGCTGATTTATAGTTCTGCGTCAAACGCCGGCGTATGTTACGGCGCTGACGTGCACCTCTCAAAAAATGTAACTACACGTCGCAACGACACATAGCGCAAGCTCTGTGATTGTTCGGCTTGGTAGTGCTGACAAGTCTGGGCGGGACCGAGAGCCGCTTGAGCCCGATGGAGCGATTGTTTACAAGTGTGGAGTCCCGTGAAGGAGCTCCGGATGGAAAGTTTTTTTTGTGTTTACCTCATAGTTAAAGTTGCTGCACGTCTGCCGGTTCCTGCCTCAAAATGAGCGAGTTTGAGCCACTTGTACATCCAGGAAGTGTTCAGGAAAAGCAAAACAGCAGCGAAGAAACTCGACACAGAGAAACATTTACACCTCACTGCCAACTAGCGTTTCGGAAGTGTTAATGCAGACCAACAGAGACAGCGCGCAGAAGTATAAATGCACAGTTACGCACGTTGCATGCGCCGTGGGTTACGCCGGTCACTTGACGCAGAAGTGTAAACCAGGCTTAAGCCAGTTAACTGTCGCTTTCATCAGACAGATCAGATCCAGCCTCCTTGCATGGAACGGCTACCATTCAAGGTGTTTTAAACCAGACTGGCATAAATAAGCAGACATCTCCATTCTCACAATGAGTTTGAGTTTTCTCACCCTTAATTCCAACCGAATTTGTTCCACCGAAGTAATGTGGGAACGTGTTCAGTGCTGTTGCGAATGCTTTGTAAACGCCTGTCCTGCTTATTCAAATCACTTGATTGAATGAATTAAATTGTAATTGACCGGCGCAACATGGAAAACTATTTAATACAGGCTTCTCTTATATTTCACTTTCATTTTATTTAGGCTAGATTATTACTTTATTTGACAATCCAGTTCGTGATTCGGTACTGTTAGCGGATTTGTTTTGAAGCACTTCACCTCAAATGTTATTCGTTCTTCTATTGTGCGTAGAAGATAACTGACCAAGAAAACTATTTAAACAAAGAGAAAAACTGGCGAGGCAGTGGCGCAGTAGATAGTGCTGTCGCCTCACAGCAAGAAGGTCACTGGGTCGCTGGTTCGAGCCTCAGCTCAGTTGGCGTTTCTGTGTGGAGTTTGCATGTTCTCCCTGCGTTCGTGTGGGTTTCCTTCGGGTGCTCCGGTTTCCCCCACAGTCCAAAGACATGCGGTACAGGTGAATTGAGTAGGCTAAATTGTCTAGACTAAGCCGAAAAGAAAACGAATGATTGAAAGAGACAACTACATACGTAATTCGTTTTGAAAAGATATTTTTTCAAAGAAAAATATACTTTTGTTTGAGCCCGTCCACCACGGCCGGAGTGGGACTCCTTTTTAGCTCTGGAGTTTCAAGCCTAAGACCGGCTCACTTCAGTCGACGACTGACTATATTAAAATAACGTCATTTACAATTCAGTTTCAAATGACACTAACACGTCTTTTTCAAGGACACAGCTGCTTTAGAACTTCAAATGCTTTTCATAAATATGAGAACATTAATGCTTTATAGATATCCAGTCCTTTGTAACGGTCGTCACACACACACACAAAAAACATATGTACCCCTACATAAGTAACCCAAACAGAATTTTCACAGTATTACTGTTGCAACCAGCTCAATGTTGCAACATTAGAGAGACAATACGGACCAGGTAAATTGAAAAGAAAAATGATTTATTAACAAAACATAATTAACAAAAGTATTTAAAGCAATCAAAGTCAGTATAAGTGAAAGTCAGTAGTAAAAAAGCATGTGTATGGAAGTGTACTGAGCTCATGATCCAAACACTAACTAAGATAAATCAAAAACACCAAGCAGAGACGTCCGGCTAATCGAGCTCCGTCCCAGACAGAATGCCGGACTCCTTATAAACACCACACAATGGGTCTCAGGTGGGATGACCCACCCACCAATCTGCAATCATCATGCAGGCTCTGCAAATCACAAAATTCATATACAAACAGGTCCCACATGGGACCTAACAATTATACTCTGGTGAGGTTCGAACTCAGATTGGCAGCGTCGCAATGTAACGTGCTAACCACTAGACCTTGATGGCACTGTTAAGGATTGTAGTTATCTGCTGCTATTGATGTCTACTCTTTTTCTCCCCTTTTTAGATTTCTGATCAAGTTACGTCAGATTTATTAATGTAGTGAATCATCTGATTTTCATTGAGCATGTGTAATATTCATTAATATTAATTAATATTCACTAAGGTGCCGCTGTTTGGGGTGGAATGTGGTTCAGCCCGCAGGGTTAATGATGATCATTATTAACCTGCGAGCTGCATTTTGCTCACGGGGCTGCGAGAAAATAAATAAAAAGAGCGGCGCTGCAGCAAAATAATGAATAAAAAGAGTGAAGCAATGGTCAAATATACAAATAAATGAAAAAAGTGCAACTGCTGAAAGTGCAAGCAGCAAGGGACACTGAAAAAACGGACTGGCCCACCGGGAATTCTCCCGGTTCTCCCGATTAGCCAATCCGGGCCTGCCGTCCACGACTCAACTGTGCAGGTGGATGATTTTCGGTCAGTGGAAAGTAAGGATTTAATTAATGCTTCACTAATTGTGGTGTATTACAATCTTCTGTCATATACAAGCATTTTTTAAAAGTGTCATAAGTTTAAAGATTGCGTCTTGAGCATGTTTTTTTTTTCCTTTGTGCTGATGTGATTTTATTACATTTAGATTTCAAAGAAAATATATTAATTTTAAAAAGGAAATGATTAGACGAATGTCATAACGAATATCCTTAATGCTGCCTTTGATAGTAAGCATCAGTGTTTCTTGATATGATTGGGAGAAGGGGGCGGGGCGGTGCTGGATTTGTGCAAACCTTCGAATAAAATCCTGCAGGCGCTTTCAGGTTCTATCGCTCGCTCGCTCGCTCGCTCACTCACTCACTCACTCACTCACTCACTCACTCACTCACTCACTCACTCACTCACTCACTCACTCACTCACTCACTCACTCACTCACTCACACTCTCTCTCTCTCTCTCTCTCTCTCTCTCTCTCTCTCTCGCACGCACGCACGCACGCACGCACGCACGCACGCACGCACGCACGCACGCACACAACGTACATCTTTATGAGGACTTCTCATAGCTGTAATGAGGTTTCTACTGTACAGACTGTATATTCTCTCCATCTCCTCCTAAACCAGTCCTCTTACAGACACGATCTGCAGTTTTACATTTGCAAAATACTTCATTCTGTCTGATTTAGGAGCTGTTTTACTCATGGAGACCAAAACAAATGTCCCCACAATGTCGAAATTTACTGGTATCACTATACTTGTGGGGACATTGGTCATAGAAAAGATGCAAAAACAGTATAAGCGCACACGCACGCACACACACACACGCACGCACACGCACACACACACACGCGCACACACACACTAGAGCTGTTTGTTTTTATACCAGAGGTATTAATGTGACGTATTTGCCAAATTTTAACTTCAATATTTAACTTCAATAACTCTTAAATATGTGGAAGATTTCGAGGTGATGGGAGGTTTGAGACTCACCGGCGGTCGTTCCTGCGGCGGCGAAACAGCTTTTTAGTGTGTGCGATTTCAGCTTCATTAGGCATAGGAGGAAAAACCTGCAGACACAGAACGAAAACACACACATGAGAAACACACGAATAGTAACTGCCACGGTGCCTCAGTGGTTATCAACTTATCCAGCATGCGTTTTCCTTCCAGTCGCAACCCAGTACTGGGAAACCCCTATACACACTCATTCACTACGGCTGACTTAGTTTCTTCAATTCCCCTGTAGCGCAAGTGTTTGGACTGTGGGAAAACCGGAGCACCTGGAGGAAACACACACCAACACAGGGAGAACATGCAAACTCCACACAGAAATGCCAACTGACCCAGGCGTAACTCGAACCAGCTATCTACTGCTGTGAGGTGATAGTGCTAACCACTGCGCTGCCATTTTTAATTATTACATCTCGTAAATAATGTATGTACATTATATCGTGATCATTAATAACATGAATTACCGATCTCACACACGTACACACACACACACACACACACACACACACACACACACACACACACACTCACATACACACACACACACACATACACACACACACACACACACACACACACACACACACACACACACAACCATGTAGACACATGCAAATATGCACAAGTACACACACACACACATCATTTAAACTCACGTATACACGCGCACACACATACACACACAAACAAACACACACTCACACACAAACACAAACTCACAAATACTCACGCATAAACCAACACACACACACACATACAAACACACACACGCACACAAACATGCACAAACACAGACAAGCGCACGCACACGCACACACACACACACACACACACACACACACACACACACACAACCATGAAGACGCATACAAATATGCACAAGCACACACACACACACACACACACACACACACATCATTTAAACGCACACATACACGCGCACACACACATACGCACACACACACACATAAGCTCAAATATGCACAGACAAGCACACACACACAAACTCACAAATTCTCACGCATGAACCAACACACGCACACAAACACACACAAACATGCACACAGACAAGCACACACACACACAAACATGCACACATGAACAAACATGCGCACACACAGACACACACACACACACACACACACAAATGCATACAAATATGCA